TGCTGTGTAATTCATTGTTTGACATACCTTATCTATTACCTAATGTTAACGGTACAATCACCTGTTAGATGTAGGATACTGTGTAATTCATTGTTTGACATACCTTATCTATTACCTAATGTTAACGGTACAATCACCTGTTAGATGTAGGATACTGTGTAATTCATTGTTTGACATACCTTACCTATTACCTAATGTTAAAGGTACAATCACCTGTTAGATGTAGGGTGCTGTGTACTTCATTGTTTGACATACCTTATCTATTACCTAATGATAAAGGTACAATCACCTGTTAGATGTAGGATGCTGTGTAATTCATTGTTTGACATACCGTATCTATTACCTAATGGTAAAGGTACAATCACCTGTTAGATGTTGGATGCTGTGTAATTCATTGTTTGACATTCCTTATCTATTACCTAATATTAAAGGTACAATCACCTGTTAGATGTAGGATGCTGTGTAATTCAATGTTTGACATTCCTTATCTATTACCTAATATTAAAGGTACAATCCCCTGTTAGATGTAGGATGCTGTGTAATTCATTGTTTGACATACCTTATCTATTACCTAATTGTAAAGGTACAATCACCTGTTAGATGTATGATGCTGTGTAATTCAATGTTTGACATTCCTTATCTATTACCTAATATTAAAGGTACAATCCCCTGTTAGATGTAGGATGCTGTGTAATTCATTGTTTGACATTCCTTATCTATTACCTACTGTTAAAGGTACAATCACCTGTTAGATTTAGGGTGCTGTGTAATTCAATGTTTGACATATCTTATCTATTACCTATTCATTGTTTGACATACCTTATCTATTACCTAATATTAAAGGTACAATCCCCTGTTAGATGTAGGATGCTGTGTAATTCAATGTTTGACATACCGTATCTATTACCGAATGTTAAAGGTACAATCACCTGTTAGATATTGGATGCTGTGTAATTCATTGTTTGACATTCCTTATCTATTACCTAATATTAAAGGTACAATCACCTGTTAGATGTAGTATGCTGTGTAATTCATTGTTTGACATACCGTATCTATTACCTAATGGTAAAGGTACAATCACCTGTTAGATGTAGGGTGCTGTGTAATTCAATGTTTGACATATCTTATCTATTACCTAATGTTAAAGGTACAATCACCTGTTAGATGTAGGATGCTGTGTTATTCAATGTTTGACATACATTATCTAGAACCTAATGTTAAAGGCACAATCACCTGTTAGATGTAGGGTGCTGTGTAATTCATTGTTTGACATACCGTATCTATTACCTAATGTTAATGGCACAATCGCCTGTTAGATGTAGGATGCTGTGTTATTCAATGTTTGACATACATTATCTAGAACCTAATGTTAAAGGCACAATCACCTGTTAGATGTGGGGTGCTGTGTAATTCAATGTTTGACATACCTCATCTATTACCTAATGTTAATGGCACAATCGCCTGTTAGATGTAGGATGCTGTGTTATTCAATGTTTGACATACCTTATCTATTACCTAATGTTAATGGCACAATCACCTGTTAGATGTAGGATGCTGTGTTATTCAATGTTTGACATACCTTATCTAGTACCTAATGTTAAAGGCACAATCACCTGTTAGATGTAAGATGCTGTGTAATTCAATGTTTGATATACCTTATCTAGTACCTAATGTTAAAGGTACAATCACCTGTTAGATGTAGGATGCTGTGTAATTCAATGTTTGATATACCTTATCTAGTACCTAATGTTAAAGGTACAATCACCTGTTAGATGTAAGATGCTGTGTATTTCAATGTTTGACATACCTCATCTATTACCTAATGTTAAAGGTACAAACACCTGTGTGGTGTGTGTGAGTTACGTACATCATATAAAGATTGTGTGTAACGTTCAAAATACAGTTGGTTATCGCTAACGATAACGTTGTTATCTCCCTTGGTTCTGTTGAATGCATAAAATCATGAAGTTGTAACCTTGACACTGAAAGTAATCGACTGACGTTGCAAACGCCAACGATAATCATTTTTTATGTTTGTCGTGTTAATTTTTAAGTCTGCATGCATCTACATATTTCGTAAAAACCTTTTTGGTAAGATTTAATATTTCTTGACAAAAAGGTAAATATGTATGACTGTAAAACATATAATACCCTAACAGATCTATATGTGATTCTTGTTC